CCAAGTTTCTAAGTGACTTCGAAGTTCATCAGAGTTTTTAAGTTTCTAAGTGTACTTCCATAAGATAATCAAAATCAAGATTCTAAGTGATCTCTCTAGCTTCATCAAAGTTTACAGGTTTCTAAGTGATCTTTCTAAGTTCATCAAAGTCTCTAGGTTTCTAAGTAAACTTCTCTAGCTTCATCAAAGTTTCCAAGTTTCTAAGTGCACTTGTATAAGTTCATCAAAGTCTCCAAGTTTCTAAGGGATCTCTCTAAGTTCATAAAAGTTTCCAGGTTTCTAAGTGTACTGATGAACTTACAGAAGTGTACTTCTATAAATCCATCAGTCTCAAAGTTTCTAAGTGTACTTCTATAAGTTCATCAAATCTCCAAGTTTCTAAGTGACCTTTCTAAAAGTTCATTAAAGTCTCCAAGTTTCTAAGTGACCTAAAAGTTCATTAAAGTCTCCAAGTCCCTAAGTAACTTTCTATAAGTTCATTAGTCTCCAAGTTTCTAAGTAACTTTCTACAAATTGATCAATTCCAGTCCTTATCCAAGTTTCTAAGTAACTTTCTACAAATTGATCAACGTCTCCAAATTTCTAAGTAACCTCCAAGTTTCTAAGTGACCTATAAATTCACCAAAGCCTCCAGGTTTGTAAGTAACCTCTAGCTTTATCAAATTCTCCAAATTTCTCCGTTAACCTTCTCCAAGTTCGTCCGAGTTTCCAAAATCTCGAGCTTAACTTCTCTCGTCCCTTCCTCCTCCTCCAGCATTGGCCTGAAGTGGGACTCGAGACTCGCAAAATCTCGCCAAATACTCCAAGATGGACGTCAAACTCTTTCTCCAAACGCCGTTCTTTGGAGGAAGGTATGACGTCAGCAGCGGGGACGTCAGGTGGTTCTACGTCTATCGAGTCACCTGCTGAGAGGACCACCTGTGCCCCCTCAGCTGCCTCCAGGTGGTGCAAGGTGGCTATCAGATCGACGCGGGCGGTCAGAAAGGTGAGATAGCGAGTTTCTTTCTTTCTTCTCTCTCTCTTCTCTCTCTCTCTCTCTCTCTCTCTTCTCTCTCTCTCTCTCTCTCTCTCTCTCTCTCTCTCTCTCTCTCTCTCTCTCTCTCTCTCTCTCTCTCTCTGTCATTCTGTCTTTTCTTCTGTCTTGTCTGTGTTTTTCTTTTTTTTTCGTCTTCATTGTTGGATGCAGTGCTTTTTTCTCTTTTTCTCTGCCTCTGCCTCTCTCTCTCTCTCTCCCTCTCCCCCTCTCCCCCCTCAGCCCCTCTCAGTCCCTCTCAGCCCCCCCTCTCTCCCTTTCTCCCTCTCTCTCTCTCTCCCTCCCTCTCTATCTATCTATATATCAATCTCTCTCCTTCCTCCGTTTTTTCTTTCTTTCTTTCCCAGCGTGCATGCGCATGTAAACCTTTCGATTGGCGCATTCCCTCTCTCCCAGGGATGGCTGATGACACATGACAGCCATTCCTATGAGGAGCTATTCTCCCGGATTCCCTTTTCACAGTGTCCGTCAAGGCGCTCACGCTCTCTCTCTCTCTCCCTCCCTTCGTCTCCTAGACTCAGGGAGACCCCATGCACCTCAGAGGGGACGAGAAACGGAGGAAGAAACGGAGGAAGAAGAAGCAGAAAAGGAGGCGGAGGAAGAAAAGGAGGAAAAAAAAGAAGAGGAGGAGGCACGGGGACGAGAAGACCCGCTCTCGCCCGGGGTCCCGCTCCGCCCCGTCGCCGTCTCTCGCGCCCCTGAGGCCCCTTCGGACCGACGGCGTCAGGGCGCAGGGGGACGCCGGGCCCTCGCTGTCCGTCAGGGGGGAGAGGGAGAGGAGTCCTAGACGGGAGAGCACCCAGCAGGAGCAGCCGAAGCAGAGCGTCCGCGCAGGAGGCCTTCCGCAGGTGCCGTCGCTCCTTCTTCCTCTGGAGGTGATCGACGGCCGCGCCCTGGCCAGGCTGCGCTACAACCCGAGCATCCGAGTCAGCATCCAGGTCGTGGACGCCGAGGAGCAGGAGGACCAGGTCGCTGAGAGCCCCGGCGAGGACGGGTCGAAGGCAGGTCCTGTCGCTCCCCCTCGGTGGCCAGGCGAGGACGCCAATAGGATCACAGGTACGTTGGGGCCGCGTCGGGAGGTGCTTGCCTCGCCTGCTTCAGGGTTTCGCTTCGATTGTAAATCCTTGTCAGAATCGGGGCAACTTTGTTCACATATCGTGTGCACGTATGGCTATATGCTTGTATACTCACACAGACGCACACAGAACGCAATGCAATATACACCCCCCCACACACACACACACACACACATTTTCACATGAGCTTGAGTCGGCATCTTCCTTTTCAGAACTGTTCAACCACGAAGAAAGACTCAGGAACGCCGCCCACCCCCCCTCGCCCACAAGAAGCCGCCCATCCTCTACGGTAAATTATCGCTTACTCGAGTGGCCTGAGAGAGAGAAGAGAGACAGATCCAGAGAGAGAGAGAGAGAGAGAGAGACAGATACAGAGAGAGAGAGAGACAGAGAGAGACAGATACAGAGAGAGAGAGAGAGAAGATACAGAGAGAGAGAGAGAGAGACAGAAGAGAGAGAGTGAGTGAGAGAGAGAGAGAGAGAGAGAGAGTGAGTGAGTGAGTGAGTGAGAGAGAGAGAGACAGATACAGAGATGCAGAGAGAGAGAAAGTGAGTGAGAGAGAGAGAGACAGATACAGAGATGCAGAGAGTGAGAGACAGAGAAAGAGAGGGAGAGAGAGATTCAGAGATGTAGAGAGAGAGAGAGACAGATACAGAGAAAGAGAGAGAGAGAGACAGACAGATACAGAGAGAGACAGATACAGAGATATACAGAGAGAGAGAGAGACAGACAGACAAACAGATACAGAGAGAGAAAAGGAAAGTGTAGATAGATAGATAATGTATGTATGTGTTGTCAATTGACACTGATCTTACCTAGTATAAGATACTTTAAGATAGGTAGATAAAACATTCATAAAGGCCCTTTACTTTCCCTCCACGCTGATAAATACTCGTAATCGTAAAAAAGAAGACTGTAAGATTTAGGAAACGCAGACTCTGAAAGGGAATTCAGACTTTACGAACAGAAGTGCAGAAGTAGTCGTAGTATTTATGTGCTGAGGTAGACTGGTGGGTATTCAGGGGCTAAGAATAAAGGGTAGTCATAGTTTCTTGTTTGGAAGCTGAACTAGCTTTGTTATGTTTACAAAACACGTTGGGATTGCATGTCTATTCTTTAAAATACCGACTGGAGAGAATTATGTTTTCGATGATGATATTTTTATTGAAGAATTAATGAGAGCAGAAGATTATAGGATTTCTGACATGAAGGCATTCAATTTTGACTATTTATAAACCTCACTCAAAAAAGCAATCCACCTCGGCATTACAGGCGGTGGCTACAGCAAAGCGAGATTGGAAATGAGCCTTATGTAAAGGTTACAGGGATGTTAAAGAAGACATAATTTAAGTCAAGTCAGTGGCCTAAGAATGACTAGGACTAAAGTTTACAAAAGAAAAAAATAATAATAATGATGATTCGCGAAAAAAACAAAAATGGAGAAGTTAGCTCATCCTGAGGAACGCCACAGCAAAGGGGAAGGAGGAAGATGTTGAAGAAGTCGGAGAGAAAAGAGGAAATAACTCAGTAGAGAGGAGTAAAGCCGCAAGTGGGTAACAGTCTTATGCATAAAGAAACTGTGTAAAGCACATCTGTTCTTTACACAATTTTCTTATGCTGGAATCTTCACTATTGTATCAAGTCTTAACGTAATTTTAGCCCTGACTGTTTCAGTATTGTTCTTAACCTCTTGCGTTATTTTGGTATGCCAGTTGATTTTTAAATGTAATATTTCTTATTAGACGATTCTTAATTAATTTCCTTAATTAAGCGTAGGACACCCTTTGTCCTTAACCCTTCCTCTATTCATCAATACCTCTCTCCTACTTCATCTATCCCCTCTTTCTACCCCCTTTAACTACTATACTATCATACAATTCTATGACCGTTGAAATATGACATTTTAACTCTAACAAAGAACTCTAGAATAAAAAAAAATAATAGAACTCTATGAAAAAAAACTCCCATCGCAATACAATACCATAGTTCTATATGACCTTTGAAATCTGGCATAATTATTTTCTTGTGTTATTATTACTTAGTTTAAATATACAACTGTTAGTGCCAGACCCCGCCAGAAGCCTTGGAGATAAGTAGAGGAATAACATAACTTCATTCTCTTACGTTCCGAAGGGGAAGGAGGAACACTTGAGAGAGAAATGAGATAAACCACTTTTTTCGAAAACGTGTTAATAACTCAGGAAAGAGAGGTTTTATTTCAGGGTGCTCGAGGATGCGTCTGTTGGGAGATGAATAAGGGGTTAATAATCAAGGGAATTTAGTGCGCATTTTTTTGCGTAAAAATAATAAAGGACAAAAAAAATTAAAACTAAATATACACACGTATATGTGTGTGTGTGTGTTTGTGTATATGTATATATATATATATATATATATATATATATATATATATATATATATATATATATATATATATATATAATATATATATGTATATATATATATATATATATATATATATATATATATAATATATATAATATATATATATATATATATATATATATATATATATATATATATATATATATATATATATATATATATATATAATATATATATATATATATATATATATATATATATATATTACTTTTATATAATTGATATTGATATTGTTATTATTAATATTAGTATTAGTATTGTTATTATTATTGCTATTAATGTTAATTATTATTTATTATTATTATTATTATATTATTATTACTACTATGTACACTATTATTCTCGTCACCTTCCTTACCTTCCTCTTCAGCACGAGACCGATGAGCAGGAGAAGGAAGAGGACCTGGAGGAGGAGGAGCAGGAGGAGGAGGAAGAGAAAGAGGATCAGAAGCAGAAGAAGAAGAAGGAGGAAGAGGAGGAGGAGGAGGAGGAGGAGGAGGAGGCGTTATTAGAAGAGAAGGGGAAGCGGGACCCCTTGCAGAAGCACGCCCCTCCTCGCCCCCCCTCCTCCCCGCCTTCTTCAGGAACTTGGCACAACAGGAAGCGTTTTCGCTGGAAGAAAAAGAAAAAGAAGAAGAAGAAAAAGGAAAAGGGACAACCGCGGAAGAGGAACAGAAGCGAAGGCAGAAGGAAGGGAGGAAAGGACGCGGAGAAAGGAGGAGAAAGAGAAAGAGAAGAAGTGGAAGAGGAGGAGGAGGGCGACGACGACGACAAGGAACCTCTTTCGGGTCCTCGTCTCGGCTCGAAGGACCTTCAGGACGGCGGTCGAGTCGAGGGAGCGGACGAGGACGAGCTGAGGTCGACCCGAGAGCTGGTGGTGGGCCTCGCCGACGCCCTGGAGGAGCTGCTCAAGGGCGGCTTCAAGGGAGGCGAGCAGGAGGAGGAGGACAGTGTGGAAGGTCAGGAAGGAAAAACGGAGATATGCATTTTTTTTTTTTTTTTTTTTTTTTTTTTACTTTTATTGTTTTGTTATTTATTATTTATTATTAAAAAAAAAACAATGCACAAACTAGTATTATTATTATGTATTATTATATTATTATTATTATTATTTATTATTATTACTATTATTATTATTTATTATATATATATTATTATATTACTATTATTATTATTACTATTATTATTATTACTTTTTTTTTGTAATTCCTTTTTCTCGATTGGGATAGCGTTAAGGAATAGAAGAAAAATTCAAAGAAGGGTAAGTGGAGGGAGAAGAAAAACACAATTTTTTTTCTGCTTTATTCCATTTCTTCTTCTTCTTCTTCTTCTTCTCCTTCTCCTTCAAGGGCCTCGAGGAAAAGGACGTGAACTTTCTTCCATTTTCTTTCTATCCTTTACCTTTCCTGATCAGCGTTAAGGAATAGGAAGGAAATGCAAGAAAAAAGAAGAAATCAGAAGGAGAAAGTGGTCATATCTTTTATTTCTATTTCTTCTTTTTTTATTCTATTCTTATTCTTTTATTGTCTTATTTTATTCTTATTCGTTTATTATTATTATTTATTTCTATTTCTTCTATTTTTTTATTTTATTATTATTCTTATTACTATTATTATTTTTTCTATTTCTTCTATTTCTTATTTTATTCTTATTCTT